GATTTTATAGTATGAGATGAGAGGTTGATGTTTTGAGAGGTTTATATAGGCATGTGTGTGCATGAATTTGGTGAATGATGCATTGTACACCATTATACTGAATTGGTACTAAGAGGGAAGAAGACTGATCACCTTCCTTCTCATCTTGGTTAAGTGAAGTATTATGGCATGCAACTCATTATTCCAAGAATATGTATCTGAAAGTGATGTTTGTTTGGGTGTTGATACATGTTGCATTTCATATGGTGGTGAGTTGTGAGTATTGCATGAAAATGAATAGGATGGACAGGAGATTGAAGGATAGGAACATAAGATAAATCTGGTCTTTTTGAGTGAATTTGACGTTGTTTTAGAGCTTAGGGAGTTGAAATACTTCAAGAAATAGGATATTTGAGGTGAATAGGTGCTAAGGGTGAAATTTGGAAATTTTTGGAAAATGGCTATATATAGGGCCTTAGGACCGGAGGATTTCATTTGTCAGACAGAGACAGTTCTAGAGAGAGAAAGTAGAGAGGGGCTCTGGTCCGGAGGGAAGCTGAGGACACATTTGGGAAGCTTATCAAGCTAGGATCAATCTTCACAACTAGAGTTTCAAGAGATTCAACCTTTAAAGCCTTGAAAATGAGGATTAAAGTTTGAGTTGGGATTTGAGGGTTTTGTCCAAATCTTGCATTTCGGAAGTTTTTGAGGTAAGGGTAGTACTTATAAGACTTAATCTAGTATGTATGGGTTTGAAATATCACATTGATTCCATGTTTTATGCATGATTGAGGCTGGATTGAGCTGGAGAGGTTTTGGTTAGGTTTCTTCATGATTTCCTAAGATTTTCATGGATTAATGGTTAATACTTGTTTTTATTACTTAATATGTTGTTTTTGGATGGTGTTTATACTCTATAATGGTTCGGAATTGTATAAATTTGGTTTGGGATTCATTTGGGGTTGAAAATCAGAGTTTTCGAACTTCCGACGCGCTGTCTGATGCATGCGCGCTGAGCGCACGCGATGACGCGCTGAGCGCACTGAAGAACAGAACTTTCTGTTAGGATGCGCGCTGAGCACACGAGACAACGTGCTGAGCGCATTGAAGAACAGAGTTTTCTGTCTGGAGCGTGCTGAGCGAATTTATCCATGGGCTGAGCGCGTTTCGAAATGGGCTGAGCGCATGGGTCTACGCGCTGAGCGGGCTGTTTCCGGTGGCTCTCTGTCTCAACCGCGCTGAGCGCACGAGTCTATGCGCTGAGCGCATATAGTCGTAGGCTGAGCGCACGTGGTGACGCGCTGAGCGGGAAAAGCCTGATAAGCTCCCAGTTTTAGTTGCGCTGGGCGCAAATACCACTGCGCTGGGCGCATGGCTTCTTTGAGGAAAACCTTTTATAATTGGGTTTTTATGAAACTTTTAAATGTTGAATCCTATCATCTTTTATGTTATATATTTGGTATGGAATGTGACATGGTTTTGGAAAAGATTGCATGTAATTATGGAATATGCTATGTGTGTTTGGTTTGGAAAGCTAATAGGACTTAGAGGAGTAAGGTTATGGTATGGATTGGAAGATCTCTTGGTGAGATCAGGATATAATCTTTGGGAAAATATGGAATTTGGGAGTCCCATGGTGAGGATTCCAATATGGAACTTTTCCAAAGATTATATAATAAACCACTTCAGATGTTAGGTGGATTCTGAAGTACTCCTCTAAGTATTCTATTTGCTACCGGTATGGGGGCAAGGCCGAGTCATACCGATGGATGATGTGGCCACGATCACCAGGGTTACGTGACTACGTAATCCAACTGTATATTTTCCATGAGAGGTTAGGTGTGTGACATGGGTTGATGACATGTTTCACCAAATCAACACTTGGTTTGGATGTATTGAGGCCAACATTTGGTTTGGATGTGTTGGTTACTTCATGGGATTATACAGTGGTGTGACTTTAGTTTGGATGTGGAATATGTATGCATTTGGTATGGATTGTGTACATTGGTTATAGATTCTTTATTATCATAGAATATGTATGCATTGGCATGGATGTGTATACATTGGACTTTGGATTGGTTTATTTTTGGCATGGAAATGACTTGTTATAATGTTGTCATTCCCTTGGTATCGATACATACTGTTGATGAATATCTAGTTTAATGATATTTCATTATGTTGTATTATGGTTGGTTTTATATGTGCTAACCCTTATATTTTCATGATATGGACTGTGATGATCTCACTATGTGGGGGAGCAGATCAGGTGTGAGGCTTTGGGATAGCAAGAAGTCTTTTGGTAGCTGCTTTGAGAAGTGGCTAGGCTTAGAGCTTGACCAGCACTTAGGGTGTCTTATTTTGATGTCTTCATGACGTTGTATATTCATTATCTTTTTGGATGATTGTATAACCTTACAAATGATGACTCTTTTATAAAATTATGTTTTATATTATGAAAAAAAAAATTTATACGTTATTATATATTTACACTCTAGTGTAGCTGGCCTTTGCTCTATTTTCTGTATTATATAATTTTATTTTAATTGTCATATTGGTTATTGATGTGACGGCCTGAGGCGGGTCGTTACAGTATATAAAATATAAATAAACTAATATAAAAATTGTAATATAACACTAACAACCTTAAAACGAATTATATATATAATTAAAAATATTATATAAATATAACTAAATTATACAGAATCAAATTAAAAAATAAACAATTTAAATAAATTTATATATTAAATAAATAAATTAAAACGATATAGCCTATAGCAACTTTAGAATCATTACAGGAAAAAAATATAAATAAAATAAATAAATTACACAAAATTAAATTAAATAAATTTAAAAATTAAATCAAATATTTTTCAAAATAAATTATTTAAAATAGTATACCCTATAGCGACTTCTCAATCATTACATAAAAAAAATATACTTATAACTAAATAATTACACAGAATCAAATTAAATCAAATTTAAATTTACATAAACTTCTTTTTGAAATAAATTTTTTAAATACAATTATTTGTTAAATTAATTTATAACGAGTTTAAAATCATTACAGAAAATTAAAAACATTATATAAATATAACTAAATTATACACAATCAATTTAAAAAATAAACAATTTAAATTAATTTATATATTAAATAAATAAATCAAAATAATATAGCCTATAGCAACTTTACAATAATTACAGGAAAAAATATAAATATAACTAAATAATTACATAGAATTAAATTCAATAAATTTAAAATTTAAATAATTTTTTTTAAAAATAAATTATTTAAAATGGTATAGGCTATAGCGACTTCACAATAAAAAAATATACTTATAATTAAATAATTACACAGAATTAATTTATAAAATCTTAAATTTAAATGAAATCAGTTTTTATATATTTTATTTAAAATGATATAGTCCATAGCGACTTTATAATAATTAAAAAAAGAAATATATAAATATAACTTATTAAATTACACAAACTAAAAAAATAAATATAATTAATTAAATTATAAAAACAAAAAAAAATAGAAAATACCTCAAACACAAAATACCACTGGGGGCTCTCCGGAAATCCAAAAAAACACAAATAACCTGAAAAAATAATTAAAACATATAAACGTTACAAAAAATTAAAAAATTACAAAATAATTTATAATTAAATTAAAAACAGAAAATAAAAATGCTTACCTGATTGGCTTTCTCGGAGGCGAAGGACGAGGCTTGGGTGAAAGAAATGGGGACCAGCAGGTTAAAATCACTTATATAAGGGTAAATGTTTTTTTTTTTACTCTTTACAGCCACGTGTCAAATTATTATTGGTTAAATTTGCGGTAATTTGACACGTGGCTAACGTCATCAATGTGTTTTCAACCACTACCAGTGTTGCTATGGGCTATAGCAACACAGTGTCGCTATAGGCCATAGTGCCACTATTTTTGACGTTTTATTTTTTTTAAAATTATTAACTAAATTAATTTTTTACACATTTTAATTTATTTTATGAATATCATATAAATCTATATTTATATATTTATCTTTTTCTGTTTTTTCTTTATGTTATATATATATATTTTTGTTTTTATGTTTTTTAATTTTTAAATGGGTGGCGCTATAGGCTATAACGACACAGTGTCGCTATAGGCCATAGCGCCACTATTTTTGACATTTTATTTTTTTAAATTATTAACTAAATTAATTTTTTACACATTTTAATTTATTTTATGTATATCATATATATCTATATATATATATTTATCTTTTCTGTTTTTTCTTTATGTTATATATATATATATATATTTTTTTTTTTTTGTTTTTTGTTTTTTAATTTTTAAATGGGTGGCGCTATGGGCTGTAGCGACAGTGTCGCTATAGGCCATAACACCACTATTTTTTACGTTTTTTTTATAATTATTAACTAAATTAATTTTTTCCACATTTTAATTTATTTTATGAATTTCATATAAATTTATATTTATATATTTATCTTTTCTATTTTTTCTTTATTTTCTTTATATTATTTTTTCTATTTATGTTTTTTAATTTTTAAATAGGTGGCGCTATGGCCTATAGCGACATTGTGTCGCTAAACGCCATAACACCACTTTTACAAATTCTTTTTTTTTTTTAATTTAAATTATTTACTTATATTTTTTTAAAATATTTTTTTTATATATTAAATATGTAGCGCTGTAGGCTATAGCGATTTCATTGAAACTATTTTGTGTCGCTATAGGCTGTAGCGACATTATCAATATAACTTTCATGACTTTCCTGGAGTTACAAAAATGTCACGTGTCACCGGTGTCGGTATGACCCATAGCGACACCGTAAAAAAATGTCCCAAAAGTATATATTATTTAAAAATAGTCCCATTTACATAAATAATTTGAGAAACTGTCCCAATATAGTCAATCAGCCTAGAAATTATATAGTGGAGTATCACCTACTAAATTCTCTTCCAAAGACCATTCTCAAAGTATCATTTCTCCACAAAGATGGACCATAATCAACAAAGTCAAAAGTCTCCGTGGAAGTGGAACGCGGCTCTTACACATATATATATATAGATAATAGAAGACATGTGTTCTTCAGCTTCTACAACAATTTCCTCAACATGGCATTCTCAATCTCCCTCTTTGTTCTACTCATGCTTCTTTCTCTCCAATGTTCATCATCCCTTTTGTCACTGAACAAGGGTTCCTCTCTCTCAGTGGAGAAACATTCAGAAGACGTTATTCTCTCACGAAACCAAATGTTCTGTGCTGGCTTCGTTCAACTTGCTCAAAACGCTTTCTCCTTTGCCGTATGGTTCAACGAGCCTCACTCTAACAACACCAACACTGTGGTTTGGATGGCAAACCGAGAGCAACCCGTTAACGGAAAACTCTCAAAGCTTTGGCTTTTGAACAGTGGCAACCTCGTATTGCTCGATGCAGCTCAAATCACAACTTGGTCATCAAACACAGCTTCACACACCCAAGTCACGTTGCTTCTCCATGATGATGGCAATCTCGTGTTACGTGACTCCCAAGGAACCATTTTGTGGCAAAGCTTTGATTCGCCAACAGATACTCTCCTTCCGGGTCAACCTCTCACTAGATTCACACAACTTGTGTCTTCAAGAAGTGAGACTAACCATTCTTCTGGCTTCTATAAGCTTCGCTTCGACGATGACAACGTTCTTCGTCTTATTTACGATGGTCCTTATGTTTCAAGCCAGTATTGGCCACAACCTTGGTTACTGAGTTGGGAAGCTGGGAGGTTTAACTACAATAGCACCAGAATCGCAGTGTTAGATTCTCTCGGAAATTTCACTTCTTCGGATAATTATGGTTTTTCCACGAATGATTATGGCTTGGGGGTACCAAGAAGATTGAAACTGGATTGTGATGGTAACGTTCGTGTGTACAGTAGAAATGACAAATCAAAGCAATGGTACGTTTCAAGGCAAGTGATATTTGATGCTTGTTCCATTCATGGGATTTGTGGTGCTAACAGTACTTGCGATTATGATCATGAAAGAGGAAGGAGGTGTTCGTGTTTACCAGGGTACAGAGTGAAGAATCATAGTGATTGGTCTTATGGGTGTGAACCAATGTTTGATCTTTCTTGCAATAGAAATGAGTCTACCTTTTCGGAGATCCGGGGTGTTGAGTTTTACGGTTATGACAGTCATTATGCCCCAAACACTACCTTCACGGGTTGTGTGAATTTATGTTTGGAAGATTGTAACTGCATAGGGTTTCAGTACAGATATGATGGAGACAAAGGGTTCTCTGTCTGCTATACGAAGTTACAGTTTCTTAATGGGAGGAGTTCGCCAAGTTATACGGGTTCAATTTACGTGAGACTTGCAAATAGTAATAACGACTCCAGAGATGAATCTGCGACTGTGGGTGCATATGATCATTTTTGTTCCGTGGAATCCGTGCAGCTTCATAGAGACTATGTGAGAAAGGTGGAAAATCGCTTGGTGAGGTTTTTTCTGTGGCTTGCTACTGCAGTTGGAGGTTTAGAACTCGTTGGCTTTTTGATGATTTGGGGTTTCTTGATTAGGACGCGTCAAAAGTCTGGTGCGGATCAACAAGGGTACCATCTTGCAGAAGTGGCATTCAGAAAATATAGTTATTCTGAGTTGAAGGAGGCAACAAAGGGGTTCAGTGAAGAGATTGGAAGGGGTGGAGGAGGGGTTGTGTACAAAGGCATTTTATCAGATCAAAGACATGCTGCAATCAAGAGACTCTATGAAGCTAAACAAGGAGAAGGGGAATTCCTTGCTGAAGTCAGCATCATTGGAAGGCTTAACCACATGAACTTGATTGAAATGTGGGGTTATTGTGCTGAGGGCAAGCATAGGTTGTTGGTGTATGAATACATGGAGAATGGTTCTTTGGCTCAAAAACTCTCATCCAACACACTTGATTGGAGTAAGAGGTATAACATTGCTCTTGGAGTGGCAAAAGTTCTAGCATATCTGCATGAAGAATGCTTGGAGTGGATTTTGCATTGTGACATAAAACCCCAAAACATACTTCTTGATGCTAGTTATGAACCCAAGGTAGCAGATTTTGGGTTGTCCAAGCTACTAAACAGAAACACCCTCAACAACAATTCAAGTTTTTCAATGATAAGAGGAACAAGAGGGTACATGGCACCTGAGTGGGTTTACAATTTACCAATAACCTCAAAGGTTGATGTTTACAGCTATGGAATTGTTCTCTTGGAGATGATAACTGGAAAAAGCCCAACAATGGATATTGAAACAGTTGATGGAACAGAGGCACACAATGGGAGGCTGGTAACATGGGTGAGAGGGAAACAGAGGAGAAATTCTTGGGTGGAGGAAATCATGGATCCTACAATTGGGACATATTATGACGTGAATAAGATGGAAATTTTGGCAACAGTTGCGTTGGATTGTGTAGAGGAAGACAAAGATGTAAGGCCCACCATGAAGCAAGTGGTTGAGTTCCTCCAAAGCCAAGAAAGTTGAAAATGCACTGTGATGGATGCCATTGTTTATTTGTGGAAATTGACAGATTTGTTGCTTTGATTTTTCATATGTTAAATAGTTCAAGTAATTTAGCATTTCAAGCTATATTTAAGTTTGAATCCTTTGGATTTACGGTGCTTCTGTCTTAGTTAATATCTGTAACTGTTTCTGATTGCATTTGTTGTCTGTCTTGTTTTTCTTTCTGTTTGAAGCATGTATTATATATATATAAGATTGCTGAATCTAATAAAAGACTCGTTACTTTCGAGTTTTGTTAGTAGCAAATACATCGAGATTATTTGACCTTTATAACATACGTATAATTCCTTAATATATTATAAATTACTCAAGTCACCAAAGTATTAAGGAACTCAAACAAAAAATTAAGGAAAAAATCCTATTAAATTTATTCTAAAAATGATCATTAGAAAATAAAAATATTTGATGCAGATATGGTTTGATAAAATAGGTCATGTACTATCCGTACTGCGAAGCCGAGTTTCGACCTCGGCACCACAACGCAAGCCGACCTCGGACGCGCACCGCGTGGCATCAGCTCGGCATTTAAGTGAATCATAACTAATTCCCGAGGATCTCGCCCTAGACGAGGTCCGTTATCTAATCATATTACATCTTATCTCAGGCCCAAGGCCCAAGGCAACCCTAAATCACATCAAGGTACGTGCATTACATATACGAGACTAATACTCACACAAAGACTAACTTTAGCATCGGAGTCTCTTTTGCAGGTACCACCCCCATCTTGGAGCATCAACGTACCAGTGAAGGAGGCTCACCGATCTTACCTGGCGGATCAGCTCTACAGCAGATTTCCGGTAAGAACATTTGGCGCCCACCGTGGGGCCGATCAAGACAGCTCTCATCGGCCACGCTTATGGTTTGCACCAGAAGCCATAGCAGACGCGCAATAGACGACGCAGATCATACAACTACCATGAATAGTGAAGCGGTAATGCGTACCGCTAATGAAGCCGACCTGGCAGCGCTACGCGCCGAGAATGAACGTATTCGCGCTAAACGACCTGCCACGCATCAGTCTCACGCGCCGACACACAAGGCGACCCATGAAGTCAGCAGCGCCCCCGCCCATGTCCCGGAGGATCAGGCAACCTTCCGCCGCCACCCTTTTGTGGATGGCATCGTGGAGACACCACTCCCTCATGGGTGGAAGCCTCTCCACCTCGATCGCTATGATGGCACGACGGAACACCCCGCTCTCCACGACCAAGTTCGAGGAAAAGAACAAGGACGAGACGGAGGTCAAAGTTCAGGAGCTCGCACAGACCAACCCTCTGGCTCTCAACCCAACCCCGGCGGAGCAGTACAAGCCGGGGTAAGCCAGGAAACAGGGCCAACTCCCCTACAGGGAGTGATCAATACAATCGCAGGTGGCTTCGTAGGAGGGGGCGCCAGCAGCTCGACCCGGAAGAAGCACCTGCGCAACATCAACCGCATACACTCTACCACCTCAGCTTCGCACCAGAGCTCACCGACGATTACTTTCACCGACGGCGGAGTCGATCTCAACCAAGATGATCCCATGGTTATAGCCTTAGCCAATTAGGAGGTTCACAAGACACTAATCGACCAAGGGAGCTCGACCGACATCCTGTATTGGCCAACGTTCCTCAGGTTAGATGTCCCCCACTCTCTCGTACAACCTCACACAGAGCCCTTAGTCGGTTTTGCAGGAAGGAGCGTTCTCACTCGGGGGCACATGGACCTACTAACAACTTTCGGAGCACCTCCGGATACAAGGCGGGTCATGGTTCGGTACCTCCTCATGGAAGCCGACAGTTCTTATAACATAATCATCGGGAGGCCGACCTTGAACCAACTCTGTGCAGTAGTGTTCACCCCACACCTCACCATGAAATTCCCAGGGCACGATGGGAAGATTATCTCCGTCAAGGCGAACCAGGAGACGACACGACAATGCTACACCGAAAGCCTGAAAATCGCCTCACTCGGTGAACAGCGCAAAAGCGACCCTCCCGCCGTGGCTCACGCCAGACACGAAGAAATCACCGATCTCGATCCAAGATCCGACTCTCATGACGAACGACCTAGCCCCGTTGACGAGCTCGATGATCTCTAGATCGAAAAACTCCCCGGGCAATGCACAAAAATCAGCAAATAGTTGACCCCAGAGTTGCGACAACAGCTCGAAGCGGAAATCCTAAAAAACGCTGACCTCTTTGCCTGGTCCAGCGCTGACATGCCAGGCATAGACGCCGATTTCATCTGCCACAGGCTAGCAATACACAAGGAGGCAAAACGGTCACCCAGAGGAAGAGGAAGGTCGGCGGCGAAAGGCGGGAGGCCATCATCACCGAAACGCAGAAACTGCTGAATGCTGGCTTCATCCGCGAGGTCAGGTACACCACATGGCTGGCGAACGTGGTCTTGGTAAAGAAGAACTCGGGGAAGTGGCGCATGTGCGTCGATTACACCGACTTGAACAAAGCATGCCCCAAGGACTCATACCCCTTGCCGAACATTGACAGGTTGGTCGACGGAGCCTCTGGGCACACCCTCCTCAGCTTCCTCGATGCCTACTTCAGGTACAACCAGATAATGATGTACCCACCTAACGAAGTGCACACGTCCTTCATTACCTACCACGCCAACTATTGCTACCGGGTGATGCCCTTCGGCCTCAAAAACGCGGACGCAACCTACCAGCGGCTGATGGATAAGGTCTTCCACCAACAGATCGGGAGGAACATGGAAGTCTACGTCGATGACATGGTAGTCAAGACCACCTCGGCGACAGACCACGCTGCCGACCTCGCCGAAGTATTCACCCAGGTCAGAAAGCCCAACATGCGCCTCAACCCGGAGAAATGTGTCTTCGGCGTCCAAGGAGGCAAATTCCTCGATTTCATGATCACCAGCAGAGGGATCGAGGCCAATCCCGAGAAGTGTAAAGCGATCATCCAGATGTAGAGCCCACAAACGGTGAAAGAGGTCCAACGCCTAGCTGGACGATTGGTCTCATTATCCCGCTTCATTCCCAAACTCGCGGAGAAGGCAGGACCCATTTTCACCCTACTGCGAAAGCCCAAAGACTTCCAGTGGATGGATCAGTGCGAATAAGCTTTCCGAAGCTTCAAAAACTTCCTCACAACCCCACCGATCCTACAGAGGCTGGACCACAAAACCGACCTCCTCCTTTACTTGGTCGTAGCAGAAAGCGCTATTAGCGCGATAATACTACAAGAGCACCAGAAAGTGCAGACACCAATCTACTTCATCAGCCGAGTCCTCCAAGATGCGGAGAAGCGATACCATATGATCGAGAGGCTGGCACTAGCACTTGTCACCGCAGCTCGGCGTCTCCGACCTTACCTCTAGAGTCACCAGGTGGTAGTCAAAACCGACTACCCTATCAAGCAAATTCTGCGAAAACCCAAGCTTACCGGACGTATCATTGCGTGGTCAGTGGAATTGTCTGAGTTCGGCATCCGGTACGAAAGTCGCGGACCCCTGAAAGCTCAATGCCTTGCCGACTTCGTAGCCGAACTCATGCCTACCACTACCGAGGAACCTCAGGTATGGACTTTACATGTTGACAGACCCTCCAACTCTAAAGGTGGTGGCGCAGGCATCATATTGGAAGGACCAAACCGAGTCACTCTGGAACAATCCCTCAAGTTTAGCTTCAAAGTGACCAACAACCAGGCAGAGTACGAGGCACTCCTCGCGGGACTAAGGCTAGCCCGTGACCTCGGAGCTCGAAAGGTGAGTTGCAACAGCGACTCAAAACTCATGGTGGAGCAACTCAGCGGGACGTACCAGGCAAAGGACACTCTGCTGCAGCGGTACTTTCACACTGCATCCCACCAGATCTCGTCCTTCGACGAATTCACCATAAAGCACGTGCCGCGAGAACAAAATGCCCGAGCTGACCTCCTATCAAAGCTTGTCAGCACCAAAAGGCCTGGACAGTACCAAACCATCATCCAGGAAACCTTGCACTCACCCAGCTTAGACGGTAAAGTCGTCAACATCAGTGACAATGAAGACCTGGGATGGATGACAGACATCTGGAGCTACCTGAAAGAAGGAACCCTACCTGAAGATAAGAACGAAGCTCGGAAGACAAGGATGAAATCGGCTAAGTTCATCATCATCGGAGATGAGCTATTCAAACGCGGCATTTCCACCCCGCTGCTCAAGTGCTTGACCGCACCCCCAAGCAGCCTACGTCATTGACGAAATTCATCGGGGCATATGTGGCTTGCATTCCAGAGCGCGCTCGATGAACGCCAGAGTACTCCGAGCAAGATACTACTGGCCCACTCTGAAGTCGGACTACCAAGACTACATACAAAAATGCAAAGAATGCCAGCAGTTCGGCAACACACATCGACAATCGCCCGAAACCCTACACCACATGATATCGGCATGGCCTTTCTCCTAGTGGGGAATGGACATCCTCGGACCGTTCCCCCCTGCAAAAGGCCAGCTTAAGTTCCTCCTCGTGGCAATCGACTACTTCACCAAATGGATTGAAGCATGCCCACTCGCCAAAATCACCACGGAAAACGTACAAAGGTTCACCTGGAGAAACATTGTTTGCAGATTCGGAATCCCTCACACCCTCGTCACCGACAATGGCCGACAATTCATCGCATAAGGATTTGAGGAGTTCCTCTGCGAGCTCGGTATCAAGCATCTCCCGACCTCGGTCGAACACCCCCAAACCAATGGCTAGGCCGAGGCAGCCAATAAGGTCATCCTCTGGGAACTCAAGAAGTGGCTAGGAAACGCCAAAGGTCAGTGGCCCGACAAACTTCCCAGCATCCTCTAGGCATATCACTGCACCCCCCAGTCAACCACGCAAGAGACGCCTTATAGGCTCACCTACGGGACAGACGCAATGATCCTAGTGGAAGTAGGGGAAGCGTCCCACCGACGCCAAGTTTTCAACAACGAGCAAAATGCCCAAGAGCTAGCAGCCGACCTCGACCTAGTTGACGAAGTCAGAGAAACAGCTCAAATCCACGAAGAAGCCTGCAAGCTCTGAGCTTCCAAAAGGTACAACACGCGAGTACGACCTCGCTCTTTTCGAGCTGGCAACTTAGTATGGCATTTGCTAGGCGAAGCTCGGAAAGACACGACGGAAGGAAAACTGGCACCCACGTGGGATGACCCATTCCGAGTTACGGAAGACTTAAGGAATGGGGCATACCGGCTAGAGGAGCTCAGCGGAAAACCTATACCACGGACTTGAAATGCCACGC